GAGAATTATGATGTTGGTGGCCTTGTAGATTGAGAATTATCATATTGCTGGCCTTGTAGATTGAGAATTATGATGTTGGTGGCCTTGTAGATTGAGAATTATCATGTTGGTGGCCTTGTAGATTGAGAATTATCATGTTGGTGGCCTTGTAGATTGAGAATTATCATATTGCTGTCCTTGTAGATTGAGAATTATCATGTTGCTGGCCTTGTAGATTGAGAATTATCATGTTAATGGCCTTGTAGATTGAGAATTATCACGTTGGTGGCCTTGTAGATTGAGAATTATCATATTGCTGGCCTTGTAGATTGAGAATTATCATGTTGGTGGCCTTGTAGATTGAGAATTATCATATTGCTGGCCTTGTAGATTGAGAATTATGATGTTGGTGGCCTTGTAGATTGAGAATTATCATATTGCTGTCCTTGTAAATTGAGAATTATCATGTTGCTGGCCTTGTAGATTGAGAATTATTATGTTAATGGCCTTGTAGATTGAGAAGTATCATATTGCTGGCCTTGTAGATTGAGAATTATCATACTGTTGGCCTTGTAGATTGAGAATTATGATATTGGTGGCCTTGTAGATTGAGAATTATCATGTTGGTGGCCTTGTAGATTGAGAATGATGGGAGTTAGCAGTAGACGGCTTCTGCTGTACAGAACCCCCTAACTCCAAGTTCTCAGCAAATGGCTCTGAAGCTAACTCCCATAGCCCTATCTATCCATAATGACAAATTACTAAAATAACGACACAAGCAAATGAAATCAGCCATGTTCCTTTGTGCACATTTGGAACATGCTAATTATGCCATTGTGCACTCTTTAAATGTTAAGCTCGTAACAGAATACAACAATTCAAATTGTTCCAAGCTTGACAAGGGGGCTTGTTGTACCTAATGTCCGCTCGCTGGTTGTCTGGGGTCCGCCATCTTGGAAGGGCCTCGCAGCCCTCGCTTGTGTGTGCCATAGCTGGGAGGACTCCCAGTAGTGGACCGGGATCACCCCCACTGGTCCGGGGGGGGGGTTGTGGCGTGCCCTTCGTTGCAATCGGCTCCCTGGCCGCTCCAGGTTGAGAGCTCGGCCGTCGCTCCCATCCTGTGCGCACCCGGCCGCATGCCTTCGCGGGTATAGCCTGCTGTCTGTCTTCTGTTCACGGGCCGCATTACCGGTTTACCGTGTAGACCGAGGGTCAGTGTGTCGCTTGGGGTCAGTTTGTGACGTGTCTTGTGGGTCTGAGATGCCTTTTTTAGCTATTGTAGCTTAGTTCAGGAGGGAGCTTCAGCTACGCACATCTTCCCTCCATGACAGTCAGGCCCCGCCCCCCCGTTTCCTACTTTTTTCCCTTCCCCCACACTATTCATCCCCTCTTGCTGTTATGCCCTCTTTTATTTTTCCTTCCTTTGTATTTTTTTTTAATCTCTCTCATTCTTTTTGGAAGCCCGTGCTCCATGGTTCTAAACATTCCTGCTGCATGGAAGGTGTGATAGAGGGCAGATTCCTTCTTTAGGCAATTTTAGTGTAACTCTTCGAATTATTGAGAGTAACACTGTAGCTTTACACTAGTACACGTAGAACTCTAAGTGCCTTGGACTCAGTGAGCCACAACCTGGTACAATATGCCGGATTGACCTGTTTTGGGTGCCATGTCCACCCTTCGTGCATTTTTTATTTGGTATCCTACTTTAGGTGACACCATTCAGGGTTACACACTAAAGTGAGAATTCAAAACGAATTTCAAATTTAGGAAGGGAGGAGCTGAATTGGAAGTATATCCAAATTACAGAATTTTTCGGTTTGGGCTGATATTCACTTAGCACTCACTCACTATCCCTGATTATCTTTTTTGGACACACTAATGCACACTGGGTTAGAATTCAGAGGGGAGAGACTCGTGCTCTATCTATGCTAAAGGTCTGTATTTGGAGAAACACAAGTGATAGATTGTAACACTCCCTAAATATAACTATAAATATAACTATACAATATAGATATATGTTAACCACTTGCTCTACTAAACAGTTAAAGAGTACATTTAAAGGGGTACTGTAATCACCAAAGCAACTTTATCTTAATGAAGTGGTTATGGTGTACAGATCAGGCCCTTGCACTCTAGCTGATGTTCTGTTTCTGTTTTCCCTCCCTGCTGTTTAATTTGTTAATTCGGTAAACCATTCGTTTTACCAAACAAAGACCACCCTGGGTAGCAATTAGAGCATGGAACACTATGTAACCACACGAAATCGCGAAGTAATTGAATGCTCCTAGGTGGCCGCCATTTCGTGCATACGAACACACGTGGTGAGAACAATGGATGGCGGCCATCTTAAACTCCCGAACACGGCCAGTGGGACTTGGTCTTCGAGTGCCTGGAACTGTTTTCGGCCTAACACTCGCACAAACACCCAGTCCCCATGGAAGTCCCGTCTAACCTATTTCCACTTACAGTATACGAACGGTGTTCGGGAGTTTCAAACAACCGAACGAAGGGAGTATTTTCCACGAACCATCTGCATTCTAACTATAGTGGTTTTCGTGTAATTTTACCCGAACGGAGACCGGCTCTTACTACCAATTCCGTGGAACTCTGGATCGGATACAACCGCATGGCGAGCCGGTCAAACTTCCACACGATGCGACACAAAAAGTATTGAACGGATTTTCGTGCAAATTGAATATGTTGCTCACAGTATCCTAAGCTACCCAGGGATGTGCTTTTTATATTGTTATGATGTGCATAAAGTAAAGTTTTAAAATATGTGAAAAATAGTAATTTTTTTGGCCAGCAGATAATTGAGTTTAGTATGTTGCTGAAACTCAATTATCTAGCCTGGTCCAGAGGAAGAGCTTGTACAGTATTAATTGAATGCCTGTTGCTTCGAATAAATCAGTCTTGTTCCAGCATTAAGCTTTGGCTTATGTGTGGATTATTTGGCGATACCAGCATTATTTTACCCTGTGGATTATTGGCGATATTTTTATTATTGGGAAAAGGGAATACTTGACGGGGATACTGATTACCGTCACACCCTCCCTATGCATTTCCAGAAAAAGATTCTACATTTTTAGTTTACCTTATTGCACAGTGTGTTTAATTTAGAATTTCTTATCTGCTGTTATGGGGGAGGAGGGGGGAGAGATTTAACAATAAATGGGACAATTACAGGAACAGTAGATAGATGAGGACCTTGCTCAGATGAGTTTACAGTCTAGATGACTGGAGTATAAAGACACAATAGGAATGGCATCAAGGGGGACAGCAAAAAAAACAAATGGAGAAGTAACAGGGGTGAGAGCAGAGTGTGGCCAGAGGCGGATCCAGAACCCAATGTCGAGAGAGGCCCTGCAGGGGTGAGCGAGGGAGAGGGAGCGCTGTAATAGTTTCTCGGATGGGGGGGAGGGGGCTATTGCCCCGATGCCCTCCCCCTTCTGGATCTGCCACTGAGTGTGGCGCTTTAGGAGAGAGCCAGAGACAGATTTGTGACATAGAAAATACTCTGTGAGGCCATATGCATTTCTAAACAGATGAGTTTTGAGGGACTTCTTAAACGATTTAGAGTCTGACAGGGGTAGGCAGGCTGGTAGAAGGGAAAGGAGCCGTCCGTGAAAAGTCCTGCAAGCGTGGCTGAGCAGTAAGGGTGCAAGCAGCGACAGGACAAGGTCACAGTCAGAGTGGAGAAACTGAGAGGGGGCATACCTACAAATCAGTGAAGAAATATAATGGGCTAAAGTTGTTTAGGGCTTTATAGGTAAGGGTAAGTATTTTGAATTGACACCTATATGATACAGGAAGCCAGTGTAAGGATCGACAGAGGGGCGAGATATGAGAGGGGCAACAGGAGAGAAAGATTAGCCTGGCCTGCTAGAGCCTGCAGTAGTTTGTGTGTGGGAATTAATGTGAGCAGAAGATAATACACTTCTACAGTAAACACACTGTTCTTTAAAAATGAAAAAAAATTCATGGAGGCTGTGTGAGTCACAGTCAGGGGATGTATTTAATTTGCAGCAGAATAGCATGGTGGGGTGTAGCGGATAACGTTTGGCTGTCCATAACTGTCCTTATTGCAACATTATTCCCTATGGTTTTGTTACTTGTATGCGATGTATTTCCTAAGCATTCGTCTGGTTGTTCGGTAGAAATATACTAGATACAAAGTTGAATACCTCTGTTCGACATACAAACAAACTACCGAACAACCAGACCACCCGGAGAGAAGTGTGGCTCTAATTTACCTCCCCATCGTTCTTCACACCAGCCTAATTGCAAAGTATGGGAATGTACTGTGTATTCCCTGGGTGGGCGCCGTTCAACATACGAACACGTGGCGGCGGCCATCTTGCCATACGAGCGGTGTTTGGTCGTCGAGTGTCTGGAACCCAAATTGGACACTCGACTATGCGAACACCTCAGAGACCTTAATACCTGCACCTGTTCGTGAAGAAACAAACTAACGGCCCGGCGTTCGGTAGAAATATGCCCACAAACAAGGGGATTCATACAAATCCAGGAAAAGTCTATTCTGACAAGTATTTTCGTGTCTTTTACCCCGTGAACAGAGACCGACCGCAAGGCCAGAATACATGGAACTGCTTTCGGCTATTGCCTCGTGTGCGGTCGGTCAAACGAACACTTTGACTTTCCCGAACCCCTGATCCGATCTGGGTGATTTTTGTGTATGTTTCTCACCCAGATGAGGGCTATCAGGGGATGTATCATTTTGGGGTGTATGTCATGTCTTTGGGGTACATCTGGAAAATGGGGTCCAGTTACTGGGAAAAGTGATGGGATATTCTTGGATTGTTTTATTTGCTGCTTATGCTGTGCTTCCTGTGTTAACTACTTGTTCCTGAGCTATTCTTGGATTATCAGCGGAGAAAGTCTAGGTGGAACTAGTGCTCCGCTACATGGGGTCAAATATTGTTAATGATAAAACAGGTTGCAAAATATAACAATGTGAAAAAACATTGTACAATGCTATAAAACATGATACAATCAGCCATGTCTTGCTTTTCAGAGCTCGCAACCGGTCGAGATGGGTCACCAGCAGCTGTACTGGAGCCACCCGAGGAAGTTCGGACAGGGGTCCCGCTCCTGCCGCGTGTGCTCTAACAGACATGGATTGATCCGCAAATATGGACTGAAGATGTGCCGTCAATGTTTCAGGCAATATGCAAAGGATATTGGCTTTGTCAAGCTGGACTAAACATATTCCCTCTATGGAAAAACCTGTCACAATCTGATGACCATGGAAGAATTATTCGTAGTGCACTGGTATCAACAGAAACATGAACATCTTGTTATGGACATAAACATCTTCTACAATTTTCAAACCACAAAAAGAATGTCCGTTTTATACATGTTAAAATATCAAATTGGGAGGTCCTCAAATAAATATTGAACCCAAAAAAAAAAAAAAATCAGCCATGTCTTCATAGGCTCATCTAACTATAAACAAAAACTATATAGAAAATTTTAAAATATTTTAATACTTTTATTAATCTATGATTGCATTAACATTTGAATAAATATTACATTCACACCATGCTTAGCCAGATCTTAGATAGTGAGAAGTGATTGTGCTACATGAGATCCAGTCTATTTTATCTGTTGCACACTAATACCACTCGCCCCCTTCATACGCGTGGTGCTTTGATGTCAGAATTACTTTTAATTACATGTGCTATCTATGTCATATCTGTGCCATCTGTGGTTAAAACTATAATTTCCTATATTACTGATAAGTAGTCAGGATTGAAAGACAGACACAGAATGTGAGTGGGGACCTGTATTATGCACTTATACGATGTGTATGTCTGTGATGAAATGTGCATGGCTGCCATAGAATAAGTGGCAGAATTCTAAGAGTCATATGGAATACACTTGTGATGGGTCATGGTCCTGCTAACTTGGACAATGGTATCTTTTCTCATTCTCTAGTTGGTCTAACGTCTCTCTCAAGAAATGTCTTGTTACATTGTCTCCAGCAACTGCTGTTATGGAGCTAACTTGCAAAAACATGGCATCATAGTCCATTCCATTTCCATTCCCCAAGGCAACTATGGATTTAGATATCTTTCTTATGTATAGACATCTTTGTCCACCAAAAGAAAACAGGGAGAAAACAAGCGTTGAGGATTCACAAAATCTGAAGTGCGAATCTCTACCTTGTCCCACTAATGGTAGACATGTTTTTAAAATGACATAAACTGCTAACAATAGTCGCGATCCTTCGTCTGGACCAGGGATGTGAAATTTGGCTGAAATCTTGAGCAGAGTCCTAGCTTATTTAAGCACCATGCTCGTTTTGTATGGTAGCTTTATTGAGATGTCATAGTTACATACATTTCCACTGGATACATTATCTGCTCTGTCTACAACACAGTGGAACCTGTGGAAAAAAAAGAATATTAAGAGTTGTATGTTCTAAATATACATATTTCTTGACTGTTAGAGACTATTTTGTCTTACGCTTTATTTCTCATTTCTTTGCTGGTGATTCCTAATCCATTTCCCAACGTATGCACCTGACCTTTCCTGGTTTCAATTCACACCTCTCTTTAGATGTTCTCCCACTTCCTACAACTGACCACGACCAAAAGAGAAGTGGGTGTCTTTCCATTGCCATTTGTTTCATTTCCTCTTTAAATGCCTTCTGTTTCATTCCATCCTCACACCACATCTCCTTCTCCATCAAGCAACAGCTTATGTTTTGGAGTGAAGCACCCACAAGCAACTTATACCCTTAATGGAATTGAGTTTTGAATGTAAGTGAGAAAAGACTTGGGAATAATTATAGACAACAAACTAGACAGCAATGCCCAATGTCCGTTAGTAGTTGCGAGAATCAGTAAAAAAAGTTATTTTTTTTAAATTCACATGCTGAAACTACTTTTGTATTCCTCTATTAAACCATGTAAAGACTGTGGGTAATTTAGGCACTTGATTTTAAGAAGGATATTAATGAATTGGAAAACAAGCAAAGGAAGGTTATAGGATTAATAAGGGGAATGGAAGATTTAACTTTGGATGAAGAACTAAAAAAAAAAAGTGCATGTGTTCACTTTAGACAAAAGGTGTATCTAAGGGGATATGATAACATTTTGCATGTACAGGCCAGTACAAATATCTCTGTGGTAACTGGTTTATTAACAGGGCTGTACATAGGTCAAAAGGGCATACATTGAGAATTTAAAAAAGAGGATTTTGCCTACAGCAGAGGAAAGCATTCTTTGTAGTAAGGACAATAAAGCATACCTCCTACTATGAAAGGTATGGGATACGGGTGGAGGGGTGATTTTTTTTTCTGTATTTTTCACTGGATTATTCATGTTCGTGTATAGCTCCATGGACAAATGCCCTATAAAATAAACTTAAAATAAATAGAAGCAAATAATGCAATGTATTTTTTTTTTTTTAATTGTTGCAAATGAGTTAGATGTTAGCCTTAGGACTTTATTTGTGTAGCATATTTCCATGGGACAAGGAGGATGTCAATATAAAGTGCCGTATTTTGTTAGCATGGATTATTTTTCCTTTTAAAAATGACAAATGTTTTTCACAAGATATGAGCAAGCCTCCTTCCCAGTTCATTATATTCAATTTCTTGTGTGAGGGAATTTGTTTATATTATATGGCCAATGGTGCATGGGCATGGTTTGGGAACAGTTTAATCTATTTGGTGGGGTGGAGGAGATGGTAGTGGCATTGGAGTCCGTGGGTGACTTCAGCATGACATGTTGTAAATGTCTATATACCAAAATTTATACTATAACTCTAAAAACAGGTATAATAATTAAATAAATCTTCTGATTTTAGTTTTTATGTTTGCCTCAATGGGCTTGTTGTCATTAGTAACAAAAATCCTTTTATCAATCTTAGCCTTCAGATAACTTGTGAACATGCATATGCAAATTAATTTTTGTTTTAAGATAAGAGATTTAGAGATCAAATTCAATGGTTGCGAGGGAAGAATTTAGACGTCCTCCCAGTACTTTTTCAATGTGTACAAGAGTCTCCCTAACATGTGGCCATCGTAGGTCAAAGTCAGTCTCTTCAAAGTCTCCTTAGTCTCTTCAAAGAAGTCTTTTTTTTTCCATTCTTTATTTTTCACAGATTCATTTTTAATACACGGAGTACAGGTCATACAGCGCTTCTCATTGGCAGTTCATCAATATAGTACAAACGTGGTTACATTAGGACAAAGTTAATGCAGCTAATTGTGAGCCACGTTGATGGTATTGTTGGAACGGGGGGGAGCTCTTGGCTGTGAGACGTGTTGGTCACGTGCTTTGATGGAGCCCGGGCTATCCTAGTGATTGCTAGTCCAGTCAAGCAGCACTCGGTAAAGAGGGCACCTCTGGGTATTTAAGGGCTCTATGGGAGTGGGGTGGTCCCCCTAGTATGGATGCCACCTGAGCATGGACCTTGGTCTCGAAGGAGGAAAGGGGAAGAGGTCTGGGTAATGTAACAAGGGGAGTAGTAAGCAGAACAGTGTTTGAGAGGGGCCAACCCCCTGGCCTCCACCTTCACTGTCAGGTGTTTGTGGAAGAGAAAGAGAACAAGAAAAGGAAGAGAGAGAAAAAAAGAAGAAGAAAAAAAGGGGGAGGGAGGATTTGTTAAGGAAGCTGGAATGCTGGGTTGAGTAGGGTGTATGTCCTAGTATTCAGTTTTGGTGTTGTCAGATAGCATGGTGAGGTCCTAGGATGGGTCGAGGTTTTTAGATGTCTATAGCCACCCAAGTGTCCCAAATTTATGGAAGGATTTGTATGAATTGTGAATTTGTGCTGTTAGTTTGTCGAGATTATATGTCTCTGTAACTTTCTGTTTCACCGTGGACATGGTAGGTATGCGTTTGTCTGCCCATAATTTGCCGATTGCTCTATGGCCTGCCAAGGCGATTCTGCCTGTGAGTTTGTTTTCGCTCCTCCGCTGGTTTTGAGAGCAGTAGCGTCCATGCGTTCTTTGGGATGGGTTTCAAAGGAGTCTTTTTGATGACATCTTTGGTTAAAGTTTTCGCTGTCAATGCTGTTCCAGCGACAAGGCTAATAGCAAACATTTGCATTTAAAAACATCTATAGGATGATCTTACATGTCTGTAAGACCTTGGAATTCTTCCAAAAATAATCCAATGAATTATGTAGCTTTTGTATTACCAGGGTAATGGTTAAATACCATAAAACCAAGAAAATGGTAAAATAAAAATTTGAAGGCACTCTAGAATAGAGTGGGCTTGGAAAACAGTGTTGTAGACTTGCAACTTCTATGATGCTTTTCCATTCTAAATGATGGCAACCATCATAACAGTCACTATTCTAGAACATTTGGAGATCTACCAGTTGCCCATCTCTGCAGTCTAGAACTTTCTTAGAACTTACAAATAGATGTTGGTTAATACTCTTTGCCACAATTGTTTCCATATTTATCTATAAAGATATATTTGAGGAAGGCCTACTTACAATCTGAAGTATATCTATTGTTGTAAATATAAAAAAAAAAGTCGGTCCCCCTAAGGAGTTATTTCACTATAATTTAATAACTTTCGGACTTGCTGTGACATCTGCGATAAGGCAGATAAAAGTATATTTAGGACATTGTAATAATGTGAAATGCACTATGCAGAAAGAGCAAGACCAAGAGAGAAAATGGTTCCCACAACCAGAGACATTTACATGGGGTAACGCATGTAAACTCACAATTCCTCTGGTAAATATTGTGGGCTATTCTGAAGAAGAAATAATTAGCCAAAGGAACAATGTGAGACATTTTTTAAAAATGGTAGACTTGGAAACTGAAACATTGGAAGGGAGCAATATAAAGTCCATCGAAAAATTAATTAAGTTTTTATTGCTCGAACAGTAACCTTGAGTAGAGGCCTAAGTGACCAGTAATAGTTTACCCATGTTTGCTTTAAGAGTAGTATGTATATATTATATGTAATCTGGTGGAATAAGAGAGAATTTTATTAAAGACACAGAGGTGAGTATTATGCTGCACTCTTTCTTTAATTCCCTCAGCAGCAAAGAAATAAATGCAAATCAATAGAAAAAACATGTATAAACATCACAATGACAATATCTGCCTAGTAACATGAACATCCAATCAGCGACATCCTTATCCTATAGTAGGCGGAACATAGGTGACCACTTCCCCTTTCTTTGCTGCTCCCTCAGTTAAGTACAACCTGTCTCACGGTTTCCTAACTGTGGGATCTTTATTATTATTATTATTGTGATTTGTCATATTAACACATTGGTGACTGGTACCATGAGTGCTGGTCCTTTTTACTGCTGTTATTTTATTATTTATTATATATATTTGTTTTGCTTATTTGCTATTGGGGTTTTCCTCCCATCCTTGTTGTCCCGTTGGACGTTAGGCAGACCCTCTGGAGGTTGTTCCATACCTCCACTGGGCTACCG